TGTAATGTATAGATCGCTATGACAGGCACGTTTCCAACCCAATGAGCTGCAAGTGCGCATGTCATGTGAAGTGGAAGATCGGAGAAGGCATGCCAAATGACGTGACCTCAGCTTGAACAGGCATAGTATGTTCATTAGTATCACCGGACCCCGACTCTTGACCTAAGTAACATCATGACATGATTCTGAAGCGCAGTAGCATACTGTCGTTTTGACTCTGATTTCGATTTCAAGTTTCCCCGACGAGCACGACCCGAGCCAGGGGCACTCATCGTCGGCTGAAAATGAAGCAGTTAAAGAAAGTGAAAAAGATGCCTCCCCATTATTTTTGCGATTTTGTTTGTTAGATATTTTGCGTGACCTGTGACGTTAGTTGCGCGGTAGACGTCATCTCGACGGCTCCTAGACCACATTGACCGGGGCTACCAGAGACGTTGTTACTTGCCGATCTGTCTGACCCTGAAATGGGAGGGGAGGGTGCCTTTGGCCCAGGCGGCAGTGGCGGCGAAATTCCTCAGGCGCTTTAACAATGGGCGGCAACAGATGAATAGGAATGCGGTGACGCACCCATGATAGGCAGATTAGGATCCCGTTGCCTCCTGTGGGCGTGATCAGATATCCGACGGATTCACGTGGTGCCCGTGTACGGCGCAAAATCGTAGATGATTGAATAGATGCGCGGATATAAGACCCTGTGGCACACAACTTAACGAAGCGCGGGAGTTGCCCTACGGCCGCGTGCACGATTGCGCCGATGTTGCGTGTAGCGTGAGTAGGTGCTCGGGTATTACCTGCCAACCATGCCCTCAGGATTGCATGCTGTGGTTATGTGCGATTTTTTACCGCTGTCATTGAGTTTTAAGGGAAATCAGCAGTCTGAACGATTACCAATCTTGATTGTTATGCTAAGCTGGATGAGCGAAGGTTTTATTTTTTTACCTTCTAAGTATCTGTTACCAAGCAGATCAATGTTAGTAAGGTAATAGGGTCGAGCAAATTCTGCGGATCTGCCCCGGATGCATTGCTAAACCGTACGCGTAGGCTTTTTTTAATGCCGTTCAGTTTTTTCATTCGAGCATTAAACCGCCTGTTCTGTTAACTGGCTGTCAATTTATTTCGTTTCATCGCTACTTTCCGTAGTTGGGGATGAAAATACTGGGCGCAAATAACTAATGCAGTTGACGCACCCTTAAAACTCGATAACTCACAGATTAACGGGGATGAAACACATGCCGCCTGGGGATGAAAACAGTGCGCAAATAACTAATGCAGTTGACGCGCCCTGAAAATTCAATAACTAGCAAACTAACGGGGATAAGGCGCATACGATCTTTTGAAAATTCTTGGGTACCCCTGAGTTACATCATTAAATACCAAATATCAAACATATCGATTTGGACCATACCAAACGGCTGGAAGACGCAATCATTGCGTCAAGCTGAAGGCGCACTCTTTTTACATTTTCTTGTTCCGTGGTTTCAGTTTAATGAGCACATCATAAATGTGACACGTGATTTAAAGCAATGTCTCTTCCTGAATGTCGAACAATTGTATTGCCAGCTTAAGATCGTTTAATGACATTTCGGAGACAGATGGCAGTCCGTCGGCTCTTATCCTCATCCTACGCCCCATCCCTCATCCTCGTGCCATGTTTTATCGCATCCTCAATCTGAGAGGCCGTGCGCACCATTTCACGACGATTGGGAAAGAATAGCCGCATGTTTGTGGATATAATGAGTGGCGGTGCAACACAACACAATATAAAGTGACGTTCATAGGCTAACGCGACCCTTTGACAGCACTTTTGCAGCGTCGTTGGAGACCATGGAACGTGCGTAAACCGCAGGACAACAGGGCTGCTATTGGGCCGCGGCAGCGCCGTTTGTGGCTGCTCGAAGGCGAAAACTTGAGTCTGCACCCGCGCTGAGACGTTGACCCAACTTAAAATATCACCAGTCGCATCAATGTGATTCTTCGGTAGCAATCCATGGCTTCTGGTGCGAAAGCAAACACCCTACGTGGCTGACAGTGCGAAATATGTGACATGTGCACAAAGATGAATGAAGCGGAATAGGCGGCTGCATGTGTTCAAAATCTTAATCCACGTGGCGCGTAAGCATCTGCTCCAGGTTTCCGAATTTGAAATGAATACTTTCGCTGCACATGAGTAAGCTGGAACTACGAGAGGTACCGGGCCCGATGCCCGCGGTGCCTGCCCTTCCCGCCAGGGTGAGAGGCAGCCGACGCCATGGAGGCTCGTGACTGAGCGCGTCGTAAAACCCTAGTGACGACGAGTGACCGGGAAGTTATGGGCGAGCGAGATTTTACAATAGGCTCCTTCGCTTAGGTATTGATCGGACTTGAAAATCACAAATGCCACCATTGTGCGGTGGCACAGTCATGCTCTGGGCACGTTGAGATATGCGTTGCTTGGCGCCCGTGACAGCTGAAGTAAGCTTTGCTCCGCGCACGTGATGGTTGACGAAGTGATGTCGTGCTGGATCATCGCTGGCGGATTTGAGCTGAGGGGATGAGGCAAGAGGACAACATTGGGCAGGTACTCCACTCGCAGACATATTCCGACCGACACTCAATAACGCTAGTCTTGTCAGCTGCATTGTCTACACTCGTATAGCACAATTTGAAGATGACTTAGTCCAGGGCAATGCGCAAATTGCATTAAGCACTGCAACCTTCGAAGCTGCACTTACCCGGATGTTTGGCGTGAATGGCTATGAGATCAGAGCCCGCCCGGCAAAGCTTGTTGTCAAGGCGTTAACCCGCTTGCTGTCGGGGAGCGACTGTAATGTGGCGGATAATTTTGCTGGAGGAGTTCACGAGTCGTTGTCACGACGTGCCACGCGACGTCGGGACACGGCCGCGTCCGCGCCAGCTGGCCCTCCTTGCCAGTTGGTAACGCGCCCCCATAGACGCGCCACATAACCCTGATTTCGAGATCTAATTACGCGTGCATTGCACACCTTGGGCCGTGCCTGACGGACCGCGAGTAAAACTGCGTGGACGACGTGGGCTGAGATGTACACATAAGTCCGAAACAAGAGCAAAACCATCTGCTGAAATTTTAATGGTGTTCCAACAGATGATTGCGAGCTTACTGCCCAAAGCACTTACCACCCGTACTGGCGGGCCTTGTGGAGACACTGAGTGGGATCTGGCCGTACTGGAGCGGAAGACTCTGATGTTACGGTGGCTCCACGGAGGCGGTGGCAGCGCTGCGATCAATGGTCACTAATGCGGCTATTCTGGGGCTACTCTGGTGTGGAAGTTAGCCGCTCGTTGCAAGATTCGAGGCGTGACACTGGTGGACACTTGTCAGCTGTATTGGCTTCGAAATGGTCTAGCTAAGCGGGCTTGAGGCGTAATGCACTTTCCTGTGAGGATTGCGCATGACTGGTTGGGCGAGAGGTCGTTGAAATGTACACGGCACGTAACTTGTCCCCGTGCTTGGCTGAAGGGACGAGACTAATAATGCCTTGTGTGATGTTATCAAATGGAGTTTTTGCTGGATGGCACCTTACTACCCACAGTGAGACACGACGGCGTTGGTGAGACCAATCACGCGCGTACGTATCGTTCATTGTGCAGGAGTTTCCCATTCCTTCGTCGCTGGAACGCTCACTTTGAAAATGACGTTCACGACGTTCTTGTGCTTGTGGACATGATGGTTTCATCACATGACTGATTCATGCATCGTCCTTGGGTGTCGGTTTGCAATCTGCAGAAAACAACACCGACGGTGTTGTCTGAGGAGCTTGAGCGGCACGGCTGCGGGGGATGACGGGCCCTTACGTCATTTGCGGTCGGGCCGAGTCTTGCCCTGTCACAACGGGTCTGTGTCGGCCGGCTCCATCGTACCGAGACATTAGCGGGCGGACTCATCTCCATCCCGAACCGAGCCGAGATCGGCGGCCGATTACGGCCGGGCAGCTTCGCAGTGCCGCCTACCGGAGCCGCGGATCCGGCCGGCGTGACGTCACGCTGACGTCACCCGAGCGCCGCCGTGACGCAGCGGCGGCGTCGCGCGGCGCCGATCGAGGGCCGACCGGAAGGCGCACGCATTCCCAGCTGGATTGACGCCGCTGTTGATGGCCGGGCTCGATAAGCCGGCGCCGTTGGAGAGGCGCGTGGGCTCGCGCCGGCCTGATATGCAGCCGCTATTGGTATGCGCCGCATGGTGCGGTGTGCAAGGCTGGCGGGTGGCGGCGCGTGGTGTTGGCCGTCAGAATACAGGAGCGGTGAAGACTGATGTTCGGTCTGGCGGCGTTCTGTAACGGCGCGCTGTGTTCTCCGCTGGTTATACTTGCTTGTTGCATGAATCATAAGACGAGCGAAATTTAGCGTGGCCAGGGATCGAAACTACGTGGTCAGGTCGGTGATAGCCAGAACGGGGGACGGCTTTTGAACGTAATGAAGCTGCCATGCATGCGATATCCATGTGAGCATGAATATATACACAGTCGTGATGGAACAATACGGAAACGAATCGATCATGTCGTGCCTGCCGGCTGCTTTTAACCCGGCAGTGTGTGGGTAACTTAGCATCATGGTCATTCGGGCAAAGCATGAACCCAGGGGGACTCTCGCGTCATTGGGCTTAATGCGAATTATAAAGCTGCCTTTCCAAGTGCCACCTGCAGCCTAGTTGTGGTAACTTAAGTCAGATTTGAAGTCAGGGCTCAGGGTCAAGACGTGCCATGGTCTTCCTATGTGAGCTGTCAAGGCAGGTGATCCGTGTGACCCATGGACAGGTGGGTCAGTTGCGATGTTCCGCGTTACCCGCGGTCGCCGCGGAAGCAATTGTTGTAGATTGCTTTAGTGAGTCGCCCTTTGTATCGGATGTTACGTAGGTAGTAATTTCCACGCGCCGTGATATTGTACGGAAGTCTGATATCATTCTGTGGGAGTCTACTGGGCGTAACGGATCTCAGAATAGAGCAGCTACACCCGGTCTGTCTCACAGGCCGTCGTTTTTTTTTCAGGACGCCTACGCACCGGCGCCCGGACAGCCTGCTGCCGCCGCGCCATCTGTGGGCAACCCGTACGGTCCCAGTTCACCATATTTCCCGTTTGGTGGGGCGTCGTCCGCGCAGGGTCCAAGTGCATCCGGCTCGGCCGGCAAACGGCCAGTGCTACCGTCAGTAGGTGAGTACAAAGGCGATGGTGGTGGTGTGAGTTGGTTTAAGGTTAATTTTTTTATCTGAGATGTGTTTGCATGGCTGTGGCTCGTCGCTTGCCGTCCCGGCGGATTTTAACGCTATTTAATTGTCTGTGTCGATAAGCCCTATGTTACATCTCGCCCGCGTGTGAACCAGATTCATCAAAGATGCTTTACTCATATGTCCTCACGCGTCTGTTTTGCCTTGCTGACACCAATTTGCCTCGTTTCAGGGAGTTTGAAGAAGCGAGAAGAGGTAAGCTGATTTTGTCATCTGCATGCGTTCGGTCGGTCGTTCGTTCAGTCTTTCCAGTTACGAGCCCCGTGTAATCGTGACGACAGCTCAATGTCAACGACCGTGGCATCGGCCGCTCGGCGCTGGTCGGGGGTGAGCTCGGTCCCAGCCGGTCAGTGACGTCCGGCGGCGCCGCTCCTCCGCCTGACGCCGCTCGCCCGTGTCTTGCAGGGCATGGACGGCGGCGGCAAGCCCGGCATCGGACCACACCAGCAATGGGTGAGTGGGTTGGCCGGCTGGCGTCGGCGGCCGGCGTCGGCGGCCTGGCGCCGAGGACCGCTCGGGCCGACCGACGCCCGTCGCCGGACAGGACAGCGGTTCAAGGCTGCTGGGACAAGGAGAGACGTCGCCGACGGTTTAACGGTCGGCCATGGCGGGCCGGGTGCGGCCGCCGCGCTTTACGGGCGCGCCGCCGTCGCGTTTGACGAGCGGTGGGGGCCGGCCGGCCGTGTGACGATGCCCGTAATGAGCGCGCCGAGGCCGGCGGCGATTTACGAGCTCCCGACCGGCGGGCGCCCCGCCGCCGCCGCCGCTTGCCCCTTTCATTCGCGCTGCGCCGCACTCTTTGTTCGCGCCGGGATCAGTCTGCCGAGCGGCGACTCAACAGGCGACCGGCCTCCCCTGCCCATCCCCAGTGGCATCGCCCGCGCCTCGCAAAGCGGTGGGTAGGAGGCCGCGCGGAGACGGATCAATGCACCGCTGGCCGCTGTGGAGGCAGGTAGCGGTCAGCTGTCGTAGGTCTGGGGTTATACGCAGCTCTGCGGGGTCTGCACACGCGGGCATCGGTTGAAACGTGGCCTTTTGAGACAGTCATTTTTGGTAACAGTCGTAGATTTGCCGTTTTTGGGCCTGCAGGTCCTTAAAACGCTGGTGAAAAAGTTCGCTGGGATTTTCGCGGGTATTTGCGGCAAGGTGGAGGAACTTTACAAGCGGGTTTCTGTTGCCTTTTAAACCACTTAATCCACAGAATTAGCATTTTTGTGGTCGTAAAGTTTTAAACAGTGTTTTTACATGATACATCTGAAGGGAAAATTTCACCAAGCATTATCTACATTTTTTTGTGTGTAATAATGCCTTGATGGGGTAAGAAAACCGAACATTTTCTTCAGAGTAGCAGTAGTCGTGCCAAAATCATCACCATTCCTATCTTATCTCCAAGTGAAGTTTTAGTTTATGTTTAAGTTTTAGACTTAAGTCCTCTTTCCTCTCGTGCACATTTGATGATACGGAAGCATCAATTATGTTGCAGTTAGCTTGTATAGCTATTGTTACACTTTCAAGTGAGAACGACTGCTCTAGACAACATAACTTTTTCGGGAAACATGCCTCTCAATACGTCATTGTTTGATTGCGTCATCGTACCTTGGAATAACATTGCTTGAGAGCCAATTGACGGGCGTTAATATCTAGAAATCGTGCTCTCAAACGCCAGATATAAACGACCGACAGTTACTTTTTGGTCCTTGACCGCTGCATGGCTGATGGGGTTGCGGAAATGAAATATTTGATGAAAAAATGATCAGAATTCGATGTCTGGGTGACCTTGAAATAATCACCCCGAACTAGTGCGCGCACCCTCGCGGTTGTGTAGCTCAGAAACTAGAGTGGTTTAGATCTTGGTTTAGGTCTCCAGGCTCAGGTAGGGCTGTGATTTTCACTGAATGATCTTTGCAATGGCCAGCTCAGTTCAAAACCTAATACAAATGGGGGGCGCAATCCCTTTTGAATGGTATGCACTCTTAGTGACACTTATGTCTTCCACAACACACAAAAACACGGCGAGTGGCAAACCATATTTATGCGCCATGGGCATGTGTTCCTAGCAAAAATTTGAAAACTTGTTGACAAATTATCTCTCTGTGCCACGCTGATTGCTTCGATCGTACATATGAGGAATTATCGTACTTAACCATGAAATGAACTTGAAGATCGCGTGATCTAAAGGCATTTGCTTTGGATCAATTTCAATCATTTGATATTGTTCTACGGCTGAAATAATACATGCCTTTTTGAATGGCCTACAAATGTCAGCACATTAACCTCGACCCACAGCTTTGAATTTCATGCTTCATTGTCGTGAGTATTCCTTCGCCACTCCCAATTTTCCCCTGCACATTCTTGCAAACTTATGCCACCAGGCTTGCTAGCAGCAATCATCGCCCAGGCCATGTCTGCCTAATGACACCGGCTTCACTGCGATTTACAAAACGGTTTCGCTTTGAAACCCATCGCGGATCATCGGCCCCGTGCCGACTCGGAAAAAAGTGCATGATGGTGATGACTTCGCAGAAGTGGCCCTCATTTCAACGTATAACCATTTTGAGGCGTCTCATACACGAGACCACAAACTGCGGCTCTGTGATGATGTAGGCAGAGTTCAGTGGGTGTAGGATGTGGTCTCAGGCGTCAGCATTAAGCCCGCAGTAATTTTCTACATCAGTACTGATTGATTGCTTACCTAGATACGTACCTACGTCACGCTTTAAGAACCTGATCCATGCGTGGAAGTGAGGCTCATTGTTGGAGCAAGGTATTGGCCTGTCTCATAGAATATACTTATGGTATGGAGGTAATGAAGCTATTCAACTAAACAAGAAACTGTCAACTCATGTCATGCATTTCTGGTTTGGATCAACGTGAAGCTTTTGTGTCTGAGCCAAAGATTGACTTCACTCGTAGAATGTTTCTGGTATGAATGAGTCATGGTAAGGTACTTTTCTGGCTATTCCTATTGTTTTGAAGATACGATTATACATTATGCATTAGTTTGTGCATGCTTTAAAAGCTAGGTGTATTGAAAAATGAAGCACGAGGTGAAAGGAAGCATCTTGCGTGTTGAGACTTTTACGGAAAATTTTGTTTGGGTTGCGGCGGGTTTTCAACTTCGGACTGCAGGGTGAGGCGGGTTCCTAGAATCCAAAAGTGACATCTCCAGTTCACTGACGAACGCGAATGCCTCCTTCCATGGTCATCCGCCCGTCCTCACTGACCCCACCGATACTGAGCTCACTGCGCTCGCTCTCGCCGGCTTGGTTTGTCGGCCTGTGTCGGTTTTGTGTCGGTATACGCTTAGGCGTCGCGGGGAGGCCCGCTGACCTGGCGGTCCGCTCCAGCCCACTGCACGGTGTCGCCGAGGGCCGACTGTGATCAGCGGATGATGTTCCGGGCCCGCGCCGCCACCATGGCCGGGCGCCGGTGCCGGCGGGCGGGGCTCTGTGGTCCGGACGGCGCGGCGGCCGCTGCTCTGTGGTCCGGACGGCGCGGCGGCCGCTGCTCTGTTTGTACCCCGCCGCCAGCGAGGCCCCCAGCGCGCCCCGGGGGCCTGTGTAACGACCACACACGGGCGCCCCGCGCTGCCGACTGCGTCACAAATCAGGAATTAGTGTCATCCCGCCACTAAATGGCCGCAGTTGCCCGGCGTAACGTAAGCAAACTGCAGCGATCAGCGGCTGCACTCAGCCTTGATTTTTCGGCCAGATAGCGCGCTTGGACGGGTTTTTCGGAACCGCCGCGGCGAAGGCCATGGCGATGACGGGATCATTTGTGCATATTAGGCCGAATCCTGGTAGTAGCACGCAATAGGGCTCGCGGTTTTTTCTCCGTGGGCTGATAGGCCTCATGCTTTGCTTTGGGAGGCTGATTCTGGCGAATGTGACGGCGTTAGGGGGAGGGGGCGGGGACGTTTGCTGTGAAGTTCGTGACTGCCCGATCTTCTGTGGACGCCCGCTGTGCCTGTGGTCTCTGCACGGAGCCTTGTTATATAATGCGGCAGTGAGTCAGGTGAATTTGCATGTCAGATTAGCAACTGGCTGCTGGATTTGCATGTCAAGATTTTGTCAGAATATTTTAGTTTTAGATAGTCCAGCATTCCCTAGTGGGATAGGATGAGCTGTTGATTTCAATTGCTGTTCACTCGGCTCATATTGAAATCGTGGAAAAATTCGTGCTGAGAGTCCGGCAGGCAGGCATAAATGGTTCCATGCTTGGCAGGGAAATAGGGCTTAAAGCTTCTGTTTATGGAAAAAAAACCAGGACAAATAGCACGAGCCGCCAGATTTTATCAAGATTGTCGTGTGTGGACCACCATGCAGTGGAAGTAAGCAGTACTTCTAGGCCTTCCTCATCGATTCACAGAAGGCAAGGGTTTTCCATAAATGGGTGGGCTGTCTGATTTTACGATCATATCTTTTCTTTGCTAATGGTCTCGAGGGCCTATAAAGCTGTGAAAACCTCGCAAAAAGCCTCGCTGTTAAACGCCCGGTACTATCAAAGGCGGTAGTTTGGTCCAGTCGCCTGTCAGCATGCTCTTGATTCTTCTTATGCTTTAGCCTAGCTTCGTTGCTCGTTCAAGGGAATGTTCCACATTTGAAGATTTTGAAGCAAGCATCAGATGTGGTGAAATAACCTCGCTTGTAGCTGTTGGTATACTTTTGATTGGAAGAGGCTGCGCTAGACAAAGCAATCTGTGTTTAGTGAATATGCCCCTCAAATGCCATTCGTTGATTGCGCTATCGCCCTTTGCACAGCAAGGGAGTTGCTGAACACTCCCTTTGAAGGGAGTGTTCCACAGTTGTATGGGGTTTTAACTGAAATAGTGATCTGAGTATCATTCGGTGCAGTTCACAGCCTTGCCCTTTAAACCTGAAAGCCTGTAGTATCGGAGCTACACACCCGCAAAGATGCGCAGACTATTTCGGCGATAATATTTCAGGGCCACCCAGGTATCCATGATACCATAATAACGCCATTCAAATCCTGCCATTCCACTAGCTGTGCGGCGATCGAAGTCAATAAAAATGTAATCATCTAGGCGTTCATGTATGGCGTTCGCGAGGACAGTTTCCAGGTGTGACGGCCGGCACCTGGCTCTCAATCTATGTTGTGTAAGTTACGATGACGTAATCAAACAATGGCGAATTGCGAAGCACATTTAATAAACAGAGAAATTATGCTGATTTGCATGCGTTGACATGCAGGAGGCCAAAGTGTGGGAATATCTATTGCTGTGCGAGCTCGCCGAGTGAGCATTTTCCACATGTGACAAGAACATTTCTTGACAGAGGATGGGTTTTGCGCTCGTTTCTGTCACGTTGTGTGGCAAAGTGGGAAACGTTCCTCGTGTCGGGTTTGAGAACTGAGAACTGGGTCGTTAGGGCCGACACCATTACTTGACGCATTTTGGGGCCAAACGGATTATGGGGGACGGCACTCTCTGTCAT